AGAAGCAAGAGCAAAGGGAGGAGAGGGTGGGGTCAGGGCCGGATGCAGGGTGGGCATGGGGTGGGGGGTTGATGGACATGGACACAGACAGGAGAGGACCAGGACCAGACAGGAAGTACTCTAGTGCAGAGGAGGGCTGAACTAGGGGAGGGGTAGCTGGAACAGAGCAAAGGTCTCTCAGGGCTGGACGTCTAAAGCCAAGCCCCTGGTCCAACACATTGCCTCCATTCTTCTGCTTTCACTTGTAAGGCTTTGGAGTTTTTTTGGGAGGGTTTTTTTGGTGGGAGTGGTAGGAGGCCTGGAGCTCTAAGCCTAGGGACAGGAATGGAGAGAGAGGGAGAGCATAGTACTGTACAGTAAAGTTAACATAGGTGGGTTTTTTGGAATGTGGATTTTGAATTCTTTACTTAAATTAAAGTTGAATTTGCAAAAGTGATAACTGTGTACTTACACATTGGTACGTACAAGAAACATAGAAAATGAATGGAGGGTAGCCTCAGAGAGAAAGGCACTGGCATCTGGGGGAACCAGGAAAGACCTCCTACAAAAGGTGATGCTTGGACTGAGTCTTAAAGGAGACTGTGGACTCCAAGAGGCAGAGGTTGGAAGGCAGAAAAGATGTGGAGGTGGAAGGTGGGACGTCATGTGTGAGGCTGAACCTAAGAGCATGTGGAAAGTGGCCAGGTGTAAGAAGACTGGAAAGGGAGGAAGGGACCAGCGTGGGAAAAGCTTGAAATGCCCAGTGGGGTCTTTATTTTGACACCTCAGAAGAATCGGTATTGTAAGTGACACAAAGAGAGTTGGCCGGCAGGTATATATGGCCTGTAGTGCTACCAGCAACAGCCCGCGCTCAAGAAGTGGCAGAGGAGAAGGCAGGCCACAAAGGACAGACAGACAGCCTGAGCACTGCGGGGGGCCTCTACCAAAGCAGAAAAGAACCAGGGAGACTTCCAGGGCTTGGGGTAAGTCTCCGTGGAGGATTCACGGGAGGACAGGGGTGAGGATTACACAGTGTAGGGAGGTGTAGTACCCCTGAAAGACATACAGACCTCAAGGAGATCATGGGACCTTCGATGCAACAACAGTAATACTATCTATCTGTTCCCTAGGTGGATGTGAAAAATGTGAGATCTCATATGAATCAGCTTGACTCCTGTAGATGAGCCCATTCTGTCATTCTTAAGATCTCTGCTATAAAAAATATGCACTGACTAGGAAAGCAAGTCTGAGGCTGTGTGAACGGGAGAAGCTGCTGAACCTCTCAGAACCCCAGTTTCCCCAACTGTAAAACAAGTATGCTAAATACTATGATTCCTGCTAATCCCTCATAGAGTTGTTGTAAGGAGAGTGATTTCTATGCCATAAAGCCTTATGTAAATAAGAGTAGGGATTAAGACATGCATAAGTGCAAAGGAGAGAGTCAGGCATTGCTATGTAAAATGTTTTGTTATTTTGCAAGGTTGTGTGTCAGAAAAGAAGCATGGTTGTCCAAAATTCTGGATTCCATTCCAATCTATTGTATGGTTGGTGTCTTCCCCAGGGCTGAGAGGAGACTTTATCTGCACACCTTTACAGACCTCTGTGTGATTTTATGTAATGTGAATTTCCCCTCAGATGTGAGACCAGGGACAGAGAAGCAAGAGCAAAGGGAGGAGAGGGCGGGGTCAGGGTCAGATACAGGGTGGGCATCAGGGGGCAGATGGACATGGACACAGATAGGAGAGGACCAGGGCCAGACAGGAGGTACCCTAGTGCAGAGGAGGGCTGGACTAGGGAAGGGGTAGCTGGAGCAGAGCAAAGCCATCCCAACTTATGAACTGCGGAGGGTCTTGCTTTTTTAAAATGACAACAGCTGGATAATGCAAAGTTAATTTTTTAAAAAGTCTGTTCTTCTGAAAGGTAAAAAATAAATAAAATGATAACAGCTGGTGGCTGCCATTGTGAGGCATTCTCTTTATTCCTCCTCTCTCCCTGTCCTTCACACAATTGGCTTTCTGTGTATGTCTTCCCTCTCTTTGATTTTCCTGAACACTAGAGATGAAGAAAACTCTTATCAATCTTCAGGGAAAAAGAAATTTTAAGAATTAGGCTATAAGAAAGTTCATCCTGCTGAACCCAAATCTGCTTAATGAACCCCAGAAGTTAGGATGAGATGCTCATACAAGGAGGGATTAAGTCTCTACCTGCAGATTTGTGATGGTAGCTATGGAGGGTCCCCATTCGCCTGGGTGCTCTGCTATAGCATTAGTATAACTGATATATGCACATTTGACTAAACAATGTTGATGTTTATTTAAACATGCTTTTTCTTCCTTTTTCATTTGAGGCAGTATGGTATAGTCAGTAGATCACTGGAATGATAGACAAGAAACATAGCATCTAGTCCTGGACCTGCCATGACTAGCTATAAAGGCTATTTCTTCATTTAACCAACATGTATTAGATGCTTACTATGTACCAGGCTCTGTGCTAGGCACTGAGGATACAAAGATTAAAAATAAAGGTTCCTGCCCTCAAAGAGCTTATATTATATTGGGAAACAACATGTGCATAAAAAATTAAATACAAAATACTTTCTAAGGAAAGGACATTAAGAACTGGAGGGAATCCAAATAGGTGATCCTACGGGGTAGGGTTGAGGAAGGAGTGCATTGAGGACAGCGTGTGCTGTCCAGAGCTGGGGGATGGAAGGTCACGTACTAAGAAGAACAAACAAGTCAGTTTGACTTGAAAGTAGCGTATACAGAACATGATGTGGAGTTAACCTGAAAGGTAGGCCATAACTGGACCGTGAAAGGCTTTAAAAGTCAAAGACATACAATTGTGTTTTATCCTAGAGACAGTAGGGAGCCACTTGAACTTTTTGAATGACACCTGTGTTTTAAAACAGCAAGGAACTAATCTTGGTTAAACGGGGTGATGCCACGTTAGACAACTATGAAGGTACGGTTTATAAAGCAAAGACCATCTGTTGGCTGTGGGACTTGGAAGATGTTGCCCCTTACACAAAATAAACTATCTGACAATTTCCAGTGAGAAGCAGGGGGAGAAAATATATCCCTAAATGAGACAGAGAATCTGCAGGTTTTTCTTAGCTTAGAAGTGAAATGTTCCTGCCATCAGTAAAACCTCATGTACTGACCCTCCTGTTCAGAACAGGCCGTTCTTTCTGCTGTCCCCACCCTCACTGGGTGCCCTCCAAGTCATTTTCTGCTCTCTCATTCTTTCTTTCTCACTCTCTTCTTTGCTGGGTTCGACCTAGTCTGTTGTCACGGTTCCATTTATCCCTCCCTCCTTCTTTCCCTCCCCAGCCTTCCCTTGTGTTTGGCTCCCACTTTGATCTTTTAGAGGCATTGCTCTCCTTCCTAGCACTTACCTGGGCAATGAATCACCTCTTTTTTGTTCAGAACCTAAGTGCTCTTCCACTACCCTGGCACCTTTTATCTGCTTGTGGAATTTCATTAGCTTCCTGTTATAATAGAACCCGCATCTGTGTGCTGATGCTGAAATGAATTTGAATTAGTTAATAGCATTTGTTCTCCCATCCCCCACCCAACCCTCAGGCGTGTTTTCCTGTGTCTTGGATGCAAAATTAGGATCAACCTTGTTACTGAAAAGTATAAAATGAGAAAAAGACATTTGATGTTTAAGAAGAACACGTTGGTTAAGAATGTATCTGAAATCCAGTGGACATTTTGTCTCTGGGCTGTGGGCTAGGAATCCAAGAACTAATTGAGGGCAGGAGTATGGAAAGAATACAGAAAATTAGTCAGTTTTGTTTTCTCGTATTAAAATATGACTGTAACTGACTAGATGGGAAATGAAAGCAATTAACTAGCTCTCCAGCCCTGAAAAAAGCTGTCATCTGAGCAAATAAAGGGAAATTCTTTCAAATTAAGCTTTTAGAGGAAAGAAAAGCACTAAATTTGGTCAGCCTGCTGACCCATCTGCTGGCCAGCATCAGAAATACCAGCTGCACTGCTTGAACTCTGCAGGTTGAAGCAGAGCCCTAGTAACTTTGCTGAGCAGTCTAGAGGAAGATCTTTCAGTCAGTTCCAAGTTTTCTTCTGAATTATAGTGTCCGCTTGATAGAGTATTTGCTCGCAGATCTCCCAACATATCATTTATAGGAGAGAACTTGTCCAGAAAGGGAGTCAGGGTTGGAGAACACTCAACTTGGAGACAAAGCTAAAGCTCCCTATTCACTCTGCTGCTTCTTGTCTGGGGAGCCTCAGTCACCTCATCTCTGGGCTCCTCCTCTCAAAGACAAACTGGATGACCTTAGGGAGCCTTGCAAACCTGAAGAGTCTCTGATTCTAAGACCTTGGCTCTCCTAGGCAGTGATGAGCTGGGGAAAGGTGAAAAATTGAAACCCAGGCTAGCTAGGTAAAGGATTTGCCTGCCTAAGTTCAAGCAGCTAGTTGGTTAACAGGGTCCCTGGTTTCAAGAGTCATCCATCAGCATCTTTTTCCCACTGCACAGTCACCGTTTCTACTTCTTCACCCTCTCAACCAGCTAATCAGCAGGATATAAAGGGTGGGCTTTTATGCTTTAGCTAGTTACCAGGAGTGCTAATCTCAATTTTTCAAGTGACTTTATTTTGGTAGTCTATTTTTTTGGTAATAATTTTCAGGTAGCCTGTATTTTGGTACTTGGGAACAATTCAATTTCAGTGAATGTATTCGTTTGGAATCACAGAAGGTCAGTAAGTTGAACATGATATAAATATATCAAGAGTCTTCCCATTTCAGGAGGAAGAATCTTGCCAGTGTCTTAGGTGAATTAAGAAAACTGCACTGTAATATGTAGGTCTTTATCAGGTAAAGAACAGGGTAACAATTTGCAGAATGTTATGTCACAAAGGGAAACCATTTAATTATCTAACCCTTGCCTGTATTCGCTACTTGAAATGTTGCTATATTAAAAATTAACTTTATATATTTTTTTCTCCTGATTTGGTTTAGAGTGGCCCTTAACTCACATTTTTTTCTTTCACTCAGGTGACAGATCATGCCACCACTGCCCTCCTCCATTATCAGTTGCCCCAGATGCCAGATGTTGTGGTCAGGTCTTTCATGGTAAGTGGCGTTAGCATAAAATTCCTACCACTGACACCTCCAGATTGATACCAACAACAATAGTAATAAGAGAGTAGCTTGAAAGGTAGCTCTTGCAGCCTCCTTCTATCTTCACATGACTTGTGAGTCTCAAACCAGAAAATGGGACCTCTCGTTTACCATTAATGAGAAACCATTATCTGTACAACTTCCAGGTCTTTCCCATAATTGCTGAAAAAGAGGGAGAATTGGGATAGATTTTCCAAGACACTAACTTCTAACTTCCCACGAATATTGTAAACCTTTATTTTATAAAGAATCGAAACTTAGGCTATGCAACAACCATTTGATAGGCTAAATGTTTAAGTACCTGCTGTTTAGCTTATATAATGTTAAGCAACTGGTTTGACTGATTTTTTGACTGAATTGACCAGTTGTTCTAACATCTTGTTGGCATGGCCTCACTCCCACAGCATCTGGCCCCATCTTTAAGCGCAGTTCAATTCTTTTTTCCCTTTATATTAGAAAAGTTGGCTCTGAAAGAACATAGTCCAAGCCCTTATTGACAGACAAGAACTTACCTCTGAATGAGGTTCTTCATCTCTAAATAAATGCTGGCAGCTGGGTGGGGTAGTTTTTGTCCATTTCATGTAAAAATTTGTGCCTGAAATTAAGGTTTGGAAACCAGTGGTATGTTTAAAGTCACAGCCTCCTTTAATCAATTGACTAAAGCAGAGTGTTGACAGTCTGAACTGAAAACTTCATTTTGGATGAATGTGAGTGATAACCCTAAGCCTGGCTTGTCTAAGTTCACTGTTTCCCTTGAGTGACCTGCCTTTGGGCTTTTAGGAGATGTAATTTTTACAGTGAGGGAAGATAAGCTTCCTCAAACTGAAGCAAATGTTTAGCAATTGAACGGGACAGGTCAGTTTGTCCTTCTCCCCACGTCTGCTGCTGATCTCCAAAGATCTAGTCCTTTTGAAGGAGACCTATTGACTATCCAAGCTTTACCCCTCTGGAGGAGGCAGTGATGAAAATGGAAGGATTTGTATCAATAAACTCGGCTGACCTCCACTTCAGAGAACAGTTTTCTCATATTGACTTAATTCAGTGGGACTTGAAATGACAAGATTCATGTGCACCCTTCACAGCAAGAACTCGCTTGCCTGGATATTTTTTTTTTTTAGATAGTGAATCTCCTTGAGCTTAGAATTGAGTTATACAATTCTCATCCTTATTTATGATGCTTGGAGGAACCCAGTGGAGAGAGCTGTATTCATGAACACTTAAATGTGTTAGTAGTTGCTTCTTATCACCTTATTTGGTGGCATCAGGGTAGCCATGCCTTCAGTGTTTTAGGTCTTATTTTGGCCACAGAGGCTAATGTGACCTCTGAAATTACATTAGGAAGAAGGGTATGTTGACCTCTTTGGGAGAATTCCAAAGTCTTAATTTATTTAAAGACTTCCTTTTGAAAGCCTGGGACCACTTGTGGGCACAGTAGAAGAAAAAGGGAGTCATTGCCTACCTTACAAAGATACAGAGCTCTGGAAATAAACTGTGGTTATGTAGGGTCCCTGATGATACATGAGACCTTGGATCATTATAAACCCTAAGAGAGAACACCTGCTTTGTTTGTCTTCTTGTTTTTCCTCCAGCACTACTTCCTATCCACAAGGTCCTTAGTTTGGGGTAAGTGAGGGGTTTCTAATAGAATTGAAAATCAGCAATATTGTGACCTTGTGGTTTTCTGCATGCTTCTCTTTCTATACAATCACAGGATATCTTTTTGGGTCAAAGCCAACTTAAGTTCTCTGCCCTCAGCATCATTATGCTTGACAGGAAGGATGACATTGGAAGCATCCAGATCCAGTTTCTTTCACTTCTTTGTACACTTCTCTTTTTAGACCTGGTTAAGAAGTTACATAAAGCTGTTCCAGGCTCCATGCCAGCGCTGCGGAAAGTTTTTGCAAGATGGCCTTCCTCCCACATGGAGGGATTTCCGAACCCTCGAAGCCTTCCATGACACCTGCAGACAGTAACCCTGCCCAGCTCTGCTTTCAGACCCTCAGGATGACAAGCAGGTGGAAAAATAAACCCAGCACCCAAAACTTTTCCAGATCAAGCTAAGCAATATTGATGGCTCAATACTTAACTCACTTCTCAACAACAATACATTCATTCTTTTCCTTAGTAAACAGTGCTTCCCTGTGTATTAAGGCTCAACCAGTGCTGTTGGATACCAGGTTGTCTCTGTGGTTGATGGGGACTAATTTTATACTTCAGCTGGTGCACAGAAGGAAAAGAGTACTTTTTGTGTACATAATATAAGAAAGTAATGCAGCATGTTCTTCTGTTTTTGTTAGTGATGAGCTCATCCTTCTGGATCAGTCTCATAAGTCATTTTCAGGAGCTATTGTCATTTTAATGAGAACTTCACACATGGTGCCAGAAATCTACATTGTTAAATAACTTATTTTTATAAGCAATAAACTCTTTGTATTCAAGATGAAGATTTCTATCTTGTTTTCTTGCAGTGCCTTATACATTCCATTTCGTTTAACATATGAGCTTTTCTCTGTTTTTGGAAACAAAACAACAAAAATCCTAAAGTAATGTTCACTTTTTAAAAAATCATGTTAAGGATACATATCAGTGTGGCTTACTTTGAGAAAAGAGGGCAGTTTTAGCAGACATAAAATTTCGAAGACATGTGGCCACTTGAAAGATGATGGCTTGTACTTTTTGAGAAAAATGTACAGATGTTTCTTTTTATTCAAAACGTAATAAAAAAGAAAAGGGAAAGAATATACATTAATAACCAGTTAGGAGATGTCTGAGAAGTATCCATAAATCTGGCTAACTTGTGTTAGCCTGATGTTGATCCCAAAAGTCATTCTAAAATGAAATTTAAAGCTATCAGGTAAGTACAGAAGTTTCAAGCCAGTAACTAATTATACTGAAATTAAAAATGAATGATCTAGTAAAGACCTTGATGGAAACGGAAGATAGTTTTCATGTGCTGTTATAAAGCAGCCTGTATTGCAAACAATAGTTCATTTTCAATAAACAATGGATCATAATATGATCATAGACTTAGAAGTGAAAGAGGGACTTTGAGGTCCTTACTGCCAGCGTCCTCACTTTACTGAGGAGTAGGAAGCCCAAAGAGATTAAATGAATTGTCCAAGATCTCCTTGTTTATTGCCTTGGAAACAGCAGGGCCAGGATTTAAACTCAGATCCTTTACTCCAAATCCAGCCGCCTTTTTTACTCTCCTTCTTGAAAAGATGATGTATTCAATTCAACAAGCATTTATTATCATTATTAAGGGTTGGGGGTTTTTTGTTTGGTTTTTTTTTTGGTTTAGACCTATAATTCCATTGAAATAGTGTGTTTTAGTGAGGAAACTCCCTCTACCAATACAAATTGGCAACTTCTACAACTTATCTTATGGAACAGTTATAAATGATTAATACCAATACCTGACATACATACTTTGAGGTTTACAAAGAGCTTTATGTTATTTCATATAAGCCTCACAAAAGGCATATTAGGTAAGGTACAGATTATCCCCATTTTACAGAGGAGGAAACAATTTCAGAAAGTTTTAATTGATTTGCTTTGGTCACACCGCCAGTAAATGTCAGAGGCAGAACTCAAAACCAAATCTTCCTGATTCCCAGGCTAGTCTCAGTCTACATCAGTCTAACTAAGGTTGCTGTGTGTGGACTGCTGTCCATGGTGCTGAAGGGATGGGATTCCAAGTAGATTAGACGAGCTTCATATAGTCACATATAGTCCCCCTCAGGGACCTTATAGTCTAGTAGATAGATATGACATATACACAAATAACTGTTATACTAAGTAACACATGACTCCATTGGAGAGTTCTAAACAGAATGCTGTGTATTCTGAAACACTCAAAAGAGCATGGTAGTTGCAATGTGAATTTTATCACTTTGCATCTAAAATGAGCAAGTAGACAAAAGGGATATTAAGATAAGTATCTGCAAAGCCTACTATTTTGACTTTTTTTTTGTTTTGGGATTTTTTTGTGTGTGATTTTTTTCTCCCTTTTGTTCTGTTTCTCTTTACAACATGACTAATGTGGAAATATGTTTAACATGATTGCACAAGTATAACGTATATCAAGTAACCTATATCAGTGCGTCAAATCATGAGATCATATTTGTTACACTCTTAGCACAGTACCCTAGCACATAGGAGGTGCCTGGGAGTGGTGGCCCAGCCTTAGAGTCTGATAGCCTGAGTTCTGGTCCTGTCTATGACATGTACTGGCCATGTGGCCCCCAGGCAAGTCACTGAACATCTCAGTTTCCCTCCTGGGCAACTCATTAAGACTCTAATTTGCAAGGGTCAGCTAGGTGGCACAGTGGGTAGAGCTCTGGCCTTGGCGTCAAGAGGACATGAGTTCAAATCCAGTCTCAGATACATGACACTTACTAGCTGTGTGACCCTGGGCAAGTCACTTAACCCCGATTGCCTCACCGAAAAAAAGAAGAAAAAAGACTCTAAGTTGCAGGACAGCAGGACACTTGTGGATTTTAACTGGTGGAGGGAGTTTCTTCATTAAATGTGGATGAAATCAGTTATAGACCCCAAAAAGTATGTTAAGTCTTTGTTACCTTCATAGCAACGTATGTGTGTGTTTATGTATGTGTATCCATATGTATGGATGTGTATATGTATGGATATATGCCACCAACGATTATGGTGTATTAGGAACTATGTCTTATTCAAACTTTTTATCTCTACTAGTACCTAGCATGGTCTTCCTCACATAGGTGCTTTAAAAGTATTTATTGGATGGATGGATGGATGGATGGATGGATGGATGGATGGATGGATGGATGGATGGATGGATGGATTAATGTCATCCTTAGTTGCTAAACATAGCCCTGTGTTTCAGAAGGGCCATGGATTCTGTCTAGCAGAGGAATAGGGGAAAACTACATGGTAGTAGTCATTGAGGATCCATGGATGTATTCTGAACACACCTAGCAGACCATTTGTGGTTGTTACTGTTGTTTCATACACGACAAGGTGATCGAGTGATTAGGGCACTGGACCTGGACTCAGAAAGGTTTGAGTTCAGATCTAGTCTGAGATACTTAACTAGGTGTATGATTGTGGCAAATCACTTAATCTCTGCCTGCCTCTGTGTCCTCATCTGTTAAATGGGCACAATAGTAGTTCTGACCTCCCAGGATTGTTGTGAGGATAAAATCAGCTAATATTTGTAAAGTGCTTTGAAAGCCTTAGAACACTATGTAAATGCTAGTGCCTCCACATCCAAGCATCTAAAGGATTATTTTAAGCCAGTTTTACCATTTAAACAAAAAAAGGGGGGAGAGAGTATTTTGTGTAACTCCAGCCCCACTATGAAACCAACATTTCAAAAGCATTTAGAAATGCTCAAATACTAAATTTGTCTTATAAGCTCTGTAAGAATACCCATTGATCATGTATTCTAACAAGATGGACATTTAGTCCAAATCAAATGCTGATATACAAATTTCAAGTGCCTGTCAATTCATCAGTTATGAAATTGTACTGTGTGAAATGTTGCTCAAAAAAGTGGGTCCCAGTCATCTATAAAATGAGAGGGTTATACTAGATGACTTCTCCAGTTCCTTCCAGCTCTAAAACTATGTGTGTGATCATTTAGGGTCTAGACCTTATTTTATTTAGACAGACTCTACATAGGCTTCAGTACGGTTCACAAAAAGATGGAGCCTGTAAATATTTGTTACGTGACTAGTATTCAGTGAGATGACAAAGATAATGGGCAATTGATGAAATAGAGAAGTGGGTCTAGGAGAAGATATCCAGATTCTTTTTAAGCTAAACAAGGATTTGGCTCTCAGTGTTGAGTGATTCTTTTATGTATTGCACCACTAATGTGTAAGACCCAGACTTCAGATGTTGATCTTTCAGTGTTAATGTGCAAACTCTCCAGTGCATTTGTTGTGTTAAAATATAGGCCATGATGCTCCATTGGACACCTTTTTAAGGTCACTGGAGCTGAGAGAAGAGATGACAGCTTCATCCACCAGGATCCACCAGAGGTCAGCGAATCTTGCCAGACTTCATTTGAGCCATCAGATCTGGAGAAGGGAGGACAAACTATTATAACTCACCTTTCTTGTCGGAGCCTCTTATTCTTCATTGTGCTGGCTCTTTCAGGGCTTCTTAATTGTCCTGCCTTTCACAGTTACAGTTCGACCTGCTCTCTCACCAGTGTCTAGTCCAGCTGATATTGGGTATGCAGAGCTCATTCAGGACTGCACAATATATGCATCAGAGATGAGAGTAAGCAGAGTCATTTTATTAGAGAAAAGTTGTCCTGCAGTCAGTCCAACTGGCCTGTGAATAATTAGAAAGCTACATTTTCCAGTGTAGTCAGCTTTCCCCCCTACCCCCTACCCTTAGCATTCATAGGACCTAGAGCTCAGTTACCTTAGTGGTCATACAGTGCAGCCTTTTCCTTTTAACTCAAAGTTGAGGGTGAGGAATCTTAGAAAGTGGCTTCGAAGATATATCGTTAGTCCCAAGTTTGCCCCCACCCTTTTTTTTTTAGGTAATAAAATCTTATAAAGTTATGGACCCATCTCAGGTGAAGCACATCATTAGTAGCTTTTTGATAAATATTGGCTTCAGCCTATCTGTGTTAAATGGGCTTGAAATTTCTGCCACAGATTAGCTGTCTTTTGTCTGGTTTTGTGCTTTCACTCAGAAGAGTTCTGTTGTCAAACTGAATTTATATCATTCTTTTTGCCCTCTTGATGGAAACAGGACAATTGTCTTTACTGTTAGATGGAAGAAAAAGAAGGCTTTGTTTTGGTGCATGGATGTGAGTCTGCCAAGTGTCTCACCATGAATTTATTAACTGTCTAGGAGTGCAGAGTCTTTTACTGAGTGCTGGGTGTTTATCCTAATATGAAAGAATCTAGGAGAGATCCATATGGTATAGTAGATAGAAGACTAGACTTGAAGACAGGAAGGACATGGGTCCAAGGCCTTTTCTGAAATATTCTTTCTCTGTATTCCTGGGAAAGTCACTTAACCGCAGAGTCACAACTCTCAGTGACTCTTAGCAATTCTCAAAGAGTATAAGTTACAAACAAGTTGCCAGTTGCATCATTGAGAGAAGTTCCCACACTAAATTATCCCTCTCCCCCCCAAAAAAAATGGAATCTACGTTAATACATAACTGAAAAAGAATTCGATAAGGCTCAAGGAGCCACAGCTGTAGGACTTAGCCTTGCAAATAGAATCAGGTGGCCTTGAATCTGCTTTAGGCATTGAATCATGAAGCTCTATGAATGATTCATGAAAGACCATTTAGAAAATGAAGGCATTGTTTCCTCTGGAGTACATCAAAATCCATGCAATAGCCCCATTTTCATGATTCTACCTGCAGATCTGTGCGTACGTGCTATCTTGGGTCTTTATTAGAAAGCCATTCCCTTTCTGGAGGTGGCCTTTT